TGTGATTGGCTGATTTATTTTCGGCTGTATCACTGTCAGGATAAATATTAAACAATCCAAAAGGAGCATTTTTTATAATAATCAACTATTCATCGTTATTTTAGATCATAACAAGTTTCCAAATATTTGTATATTTGCTTAAATAATGAAGAAATTATATTAATGAATTGACAACGCAACTACAACCAGGGGTGTCACGAAATTCTCACATCAAATTTCAAGAATATATGTTCCACATTTAATCTTGAGTGTTTCATGAAGGAATTAATTGTATTTAAAATATGAGCATTACATAATATAATTTGACATATGTTAAGAGGGCAGACACTGTGTAATAGACTCACTTGTCAGTCACGACAGTGTTTCTTCGTATATTCTAGTTATCAGTTAGTGTGTGTGTGTACATGAATAAATTACATTCGTAATTATGGCAATTATAACACGAATTATATGTGAAATGTGTGCTATTGGGAAAATGAAGTATTCAAGTGGCAGCTGGTATATGGAGTTTAATATCTGGTTCCCCTTTGTCGAACTAAAAATCGACAAATGTTTGGCAAAAGACTGTGTACTCATCTTTAGGTAACAACATTTTCAATAGATATCTATCTTATTTATGACGTCAGCTTCAGGTTTTACGCCCACCAATCCCATATCACTTGGCATGGTCTAATCAGCCAATAAGAGCTTGACCGAAGAGTTGTTGTGAATACGGGACCAACAGTAGGCATTACTTATGTCACCATGAACCCAAAGCAACAGCGCTTAACTATTCGCGGCCAAATAATCGCCCTCCGAGAAGAAGGCCTTATGATGCATGCCATCGCAGACCGACTTGCTGTTTCGACTTCAACTGTGAAAGGGTGGATCAGGAGATATGCCAAAACAGATTTAACTGATTTGGGTATGTATGAAAATTTAAGATTGAACCGGGATATAAACAATATCTAAGATATTTATTTTTATATAAATCGTATGATAATGCAAATATTATATTGTAAATATTATGATTTATTGTTAAAGGTTATGAGTGTATGCCATAGCATTAATGGCATACCAGGTTATGACACAGGAGATCCAAAAACAATATTGCGTCCATTTTCAGAAAGAAGACCACGCCCCCGACTGACTACTAGGGATAAGGATGCCGCCATATTAGCAGGAATGCAAAACAACCCGTTCTCCAACGCTGTCGTCATCAGAGAGGCGTTACACTTAGACGTCTGTACATAGACTGTCAGGTCACATTTGCATCAGGCGGGCATATAACACAGAGTCCCTGCCATAAAGGAACGGCTAACCGACGAACACCGCACTGGCCACCTCCAGTTTGCCCAGCAATATGTGAGGGAGGACCTGGAGTTTCAGTCGCGAGTAGTCTTGACGGATGAGAAGACTTTTGTCAGTACTAACCACAGTAAAAATCAATTGTGGCAGCCAAATCGCATGAGGTAAGTAAACTTAATATATTAACAAATCCATAATGATTAAAATAAGATTTAGACCGTATTTGTCGATATAGCCGTAAAACATCATACAACTCATTATACATTTCCAAATAAAAGTCTTTAAGATTATTGCATAACATTAAAATTTCTTTTCAAGTATTCTACTACAAACTTAATATAAGATGTAATAGCTTAATTAGGCCAATATATTTATTTTTGTATCGTATTTTCCCTTCCTGCAGATACGACAGGGCCCACATACAGTATATGAGCTGGCTAGAAGTGGGCATGACGCTGAATGTGTGGGGCTACATATCCCTGCATGGTATGGGAGATGTTTTCCAAATTAATGGGAGGTTCACGGCAAATAAATACCTAGCATCCTGCAGAATCAGTTCCTCCCTTCAATTCGGGAATGCAATTTCCCATTCCATGCTGGGCCAATTACTTTTATTCATGATAGATGCCCCATCCACACAGCCAGAGCAGTGCATCAGTGGTATGACGGGCAGCGACAACTCAGGTTCTTGGAATTGCCGAGCAAGGGATGCGACATGAATCCCATTGAAAATATCTGGGCAAGTATCGTCAATTCCTGGTTGCCCGAGTTCGAGAGGACGCCGAATCAGCTGTTCGACCATGTGACAAGACAGTGGGAGGTTTTTAGAAACAAACCTGAGCTTGTTCCAAACAACATATCTTCTATGCAGTGGAGGCTGCAAGCTGTAATTGATAAGGAGGGTGGATGGACCCGTTGTTAAACAATATACTATAAATAATACACCTGTCTATATTTTAATCCTCGACAGAAAGAAATATATTACAAACCTTAAATTTAAATTATGCAATAACAATAATGCCAGTTGCAATATGATTCAAAAGGAAATAAAAAATATTGAGGAACTAAAAACCCACATAATAACTGAGAGCCAGGTAAGAGTGCGAGTACGAGAGTCAGGATGTGGTTGATGGAACCTTGGCTGACTGTACCTATTTTCTGAAGGTCAGAATCATTCAAAACACATCAAAACCATTGGAAAAACATAATTTCAACCCAACCCTAAATTCGCTGCATGATCGAAACAATAATAATACCTACACTAAAACTAATATTAAGGTGAATTTATAATTTTACACCGGTCTTTCTTTCGCTGTTATTAAATTATATTTCATAATGTTTAGACAATTTCAAGACATTTTTCTTCTATGATATTTCCACCGGAAATTAAGGACAACCGAGATATTAATTTTTCAAGTTTATTACTTTCACAAGTGTTGCCATGTCTTGTCTACACCTGGCGGAGGAGGTCTGACACGACACCCGCTCTCGCGTCGCTCCAGACCTCTGTATTTGCGTCTTAAGCTTCTACAGCGACTGTGCCGGTGGTGAAGTGGGAGTCTCATATTGGTTATAGCGATAGGAGTATTTTTATTGGGCAAGAATTTTTTGTTTTAGCCAATGAACAGTGAGTGGGTGGGTCGGGAGTAGAGATCTGAGTTGGAAGAGCTGTGCCCACATTGTGAGAAGGATTATTTTGTGCCAATTGCAGAGTTACACCAGAAAAGAGTAAGGCAATATCTTTTTTTTAGAACAAGGTATTACCGGTTATAGTTCTTTGTCCAAAGTGTAATAACCAGTGAACACCGGTGTGATACTATAAACTGACCAATAATAAAATAATACCGGTGTTTTCTTACTCTTAATGCCATGGTTATTGATACACTTCCTCTACTGCTCAATGGTTGTTTACACCTCAGTTCAAAGGATGACCACCAGGTGTCAGACGTCAATATTGTGGACGCTTTAGCCTAGTTAAGTTGACTCACTATCCCTTTGCCCATATTTTTTTTTATTCAAATATCAAAATGTTAAACTAAAGGACAATTATGATTAGTTTGAGTATGATATCCACCTTAACTTTGTTCCCCCAAAAAATGGAAGGTTAACTCTGAAGATAATGAGTGTGTGTCGTCACCCAACCCCCCCCCCCCCAAAAAAATCCCCTAATAAATTTTACCCTTAATTCTTTTTTAACTCCTTTATATCTACGAATAAATCCATAAAAGGAAGGAAGGAATGGGAGAAGGATGTAAGAAGGGAGGGAGGGAACGAGGTAAGAAAGAATGGAGGGAGGGAGAGAATAAGGGAAGGAAGGCACAAGAAGGGAAATAAAGATGAGGGAGAGCTAGAGGAAGTAAGGAGGAAGAGGAAGGCAGAGGTAGAAGGGGGAGAGAAGGAGAAATGAAGGGATAAAAGACAAACGTATAAAGGGAAGGGAGAGAGAGAGAGAAGGGAGGCAGGTAAAGAAAGAAGGAAATGAGACAAAGAAAGAAATATGATAAAAAGGGAATAAATTTTAAGAAAATAAAGACAATAAAGGTAAACAGGATACAATAATAAAAATAATAATAATAATAATAATAATAATAATAATAAAAACTAATAATCTATATACTGTTTCGGAATCGTTAGGACCACAAGTACGAGACGCCGTGTGGAAACCTAATTTGTGGACACGAACACAGCAACTCCTATGTCGCTTTCTGACACCGAACCCGAAGTGTCTTAGGTAGGTTTATTATTATTTCTAACATAGACTCGCCAATGATTATTTCAAAACGTTTGGTGAAATTTTTTATTATTTTTCGGTGATTTCGAGCCACCAAAATTGCCTGGGTTTTGTCAGGTGGTGGTGGTAGGGGTGATAGGAGGGTGGTGGTGGTGGTGGTGGTGGTAGGGATGGAGGGTGGTGGTGGTGGTGGTGGTCGTCGTCTTCTTCTTCCGGATGTGGTTGGGGATTCCACCCTTCCCAGTCAGTGGGTCCTGATACCTTCCGTTGGCGCCTGACGGATGGTACCATTCTCCACCTCCCAGGATGGGTGTGTAGGGTAAGGTAGTGTGGTGTGGTGTAGGGTAGTGTAGCAGGTGGTGTGGTGTAGGGTAGTGTAGGGTAAGGTAGTGTGGTGTGGTGTCGGGTAGTGTAGTGTGTTGTGGTGTAGGGTAGTGTAGTGTGTTGTGGTGTGGTGTAGTGTAGTGTAGTGTAGGGTAGGGTAGGGTAGGGTAGTGTGGTGTGGTGTCGGGTAGTGTAGTGTGTAGGGTAGTGTAGGGTAGTGAAAAGGCAGACTAACAGAATGAGAAATGCTGACAGACAGACACAAATAGACAGAGCCTGACAGACAGACAGATATGCTGAGATAGACGGACAGACAAACAGACCGACAGACACATAGAGAGAGAGAGACAGAGAGCAGACACACACACAGAAAGATGCAGAGACAAACAGTCAGACAGACCAAAAAAAGTGAGAAACACGGACAGACAGACAGATAGACAGACACAAGCAGATAGACGGAGACATACAGACAGGCAGAGGATAGACAGACAAACAGACAGTGAAAAAGACAGACAGACAGACAGACAAATAGACAGAATGACAGACACATACACAGAGACAGTGATAGACAGATGGAGACAGATAGAGAGATTGCCGGACAAACAGAGACAGTCAGAGAGACAGAAAGACAGACATAGACAATTAGACTGACAGATAGAGAGAGAGACAGACAAGAAAGATAGAGATAGACAAGACAGACAGACAGACAAACAAGCAGAGACAGATAGAAAATGGCAGAGATTGACAGAGACAAACAAATAGACAGACAGAATGACAACCAGACAGAAACAGGCAATCGGAGACATAAAGAGACAAACAGATAGACAGAGACCGACATTGCGAGAAAGACAGACAGACAGACAGAGAGAGAGAGAGAGAGAGAGAGAGATAAGTAGAATCATCATATAGGCACAGCAGACAGACAGGGACAAGCATACAAACGGAGACATACATCCAGAAGTATGTCTGTCACTTTCTGTCTGTCTGTCTGTCTTTGTTTATCTGTCTGTTGGTCTCTGTCTGTCTGTGTGTCTCTCTTTGTTTGTCTACCTGACTGTCAGTCTCTGTCTATCTGTGTTTGTCTCGGTCTGTCTATTTGTCTCAGCTTCTCTGTCTTTCTCACAATGTCGGTCTCTGCCTGTCTGTTCTGTCTGTGTATCTGGCTCTCTGTCTGTCTGTCTGTTTTTTGTCCTATTAAATTCCAGACTTCAGTAAAATTTCTCGGTGTTCATTTTGACCGGAAATTAACCTGGATAAACCACATTAACGAGCGGACTGTGAAGAACTGCAGAAGGATCTGAGCTCCAAGAATGGTCAAAGAAGTAGTCATTGCGAGAAAAAGGTAAACCAGGCAAATAAATTATCGGGTCTTATAAGAAGGTCGTTCAGATATCTAGACGTTCCGTCCCTCGTAACGATCTTCAGGAGTGCAGTGCTTCCCCATCTGGAGTACTGTCACCCCGTCAGCTACCCTGAGAGATTAGAGCGCTTGAAATTGCCTATATAGTGAGTTTTGTCCGTTAAAACCAAGCTAGTAGAAAAACAAACATTCAGTAACTATGAGGGAAGCGCAACCGATAGGTGGCTGTTATTGTTTGAAAAATGTGAGTTTGCATTATCGCCTCGGGGGATATTCTAGATACTGCACATATTACCACCATGATCACTGTCTGTGTGTGTGTGTGTGTGTTATCAGTTCTCTGGTATGGAAGTTTTGGTCTTGGTGGGAGGTGTAATGATTGTTCATCAGACCATATCTAACAGCCCAGAGAACACCACCACATATAACGTTAAGTAGATGCGCAGGTGTATACCCACGTAAGTTGACCCACCCTTTGTAATTTACGTGAGATTAAGAACCAACCCAGCAAAGGTCACGGTGACTAAGATTTCTCACCGCCGCGTGATTAGTCGAACCGTCATTACCATGTTAACTCGATAAGCTACCCCCCAGCCAGCACCATGTATCTGATCAAACACACCTGTCTCGACACACCCAGATTAGTGCTAATTAGTGATATCTGCCAGCCTGACACCGCCAATATAAGGGGCCGACAGCTCCTTCCCAGAGGCAGATAAGGAGAGACGGAACTAAAAAGCAGACGGAGTCACACTTGTCACAAGTGGAGGTTGGGAGGGGAATTCCCACCGAGTCCCCAGCAAGCAGTCTCCCACAGGAGACAGAGTCCAGCACCCGCCTGGATCTCTCTTCAGCAGCACCTGCACACATATTCCCCAACCGCTGGGCCTCCTTCGGGTCATACTCGAGTTACTGTCAGAGCAATCCGTAGGGCGAGTTACTTAGAATTAGTGTTTTGGAAAATTTCCCCCAAGAGTATACAGGGTGAGCATAAAGTCTTTCCCTGATTACAAACATTTATTACACAAAACATATGCTACGTACAAACACAGTTTTTTGCAGCTTAAAATATGCATGAAAAAGAAATCTATGAATTCGTCTACACAATGCTACAACATTCATGTTTCTATCTAGAATGGTCTTCGAGTTATGATTTCTCACAATCAGGGAAAGACTATGTTCACCCTGTATATTAACAGCCAAATAATTAATCGGCCACGCTACCAAACTTTCCTCACTTTACAACTATAAATTCTTCCGATATCTTCTATTGGAGTTTTCACTCGTTAGTGGTGGCAGTATCCATTACGTAAACCAACTCTCCTCCTCTTATTCAGTACAGAGGGTGCAAGCTCCTTTAAAGTAAACTCACAACTTGCCCCTTAGTCACTCATTACACTTAGCTTATACTACAGACGGGCAAGGGGAGGTCCTAATTGAGGTGTATAAACATCTCAAAAGGCACTTTCCTGGAACTGGCGGACGCTCGCTCGCCCAACAAGGGGTCACGGCCCAAGGTTGAAGCCGCCGCAAGCCCAGAAAACGGAGGGGTAACTTTTTCGGAGCGAGAATTGTGAACTCTCCGTACAATCTGCCAGTGTAGTGTGACGGCGCCGAGTGTGAGCCCTTTCAAGACCAGACTTGACAAGCACTGGAGCAGGTTCAGATACATTCAGGAGCCGGTGTATGCCCAGTACTTGCCAACGGTCGTGACCGATCGCCCTAGCGGCTAACGAGCCGATCAGTGGTGAAGAGGATGGCAAAAGTATATGCTTGGGTTGTTAGGTTTCTACGAAGTATTGGAAGTGTTAATTGAAGGTGCTACTTTTCTAACGACAAAGACCGAAGGTTATTTTTTGTGCTATTGTTATAATTTTAAGCTCCACTGATCAGCCGCTTGGGCGATCGGTCACGTTTCTGTCACGCACTGTTGACAAGTACTGGTGGGTCTACTGGCTCTGGTATGCACTGTTGGCAAGTACTGGCTCCCGAGTGTACCTGAACCTGCTTCAGTGGTGGTCAAGTCTGGTCTTGAAAGAACTCACACTCGGTGCCGTCAACACTTTCTGGTAGATTGTTCCAAGAGTTCACATCTCTCACTCCGAAAAAGTTTGCCCTCACAGTTTTCTGGACCTGCAGCTTCTTCAATCTTGAGCTGTGACCCCTTGTGGGGCGAGCGTCCGCCAGCTCCAAGTAAGGACACTCAACTGAGTAGTAACCCTGGAGATGCTTATACACCTCCATTAGGTCACCCCTTGCCCGTCTGTAATATAAGCCAGGCAAGTTCAGGCGCTCCAATCTCAGGGTCGTTGAGGTGCCGAATTGCAGGCACCAGTCTGGTGACCCTCCTTTGAACATTTTCAACCAACTGACAGTCCCTAGCATATCTCGGGGACCAGACGGGAAAGCACCCCACTCTTTGAAGATCGTTACGAGGGACGGACCGTCTAGATATCTGAACGACCTTCTTATAAGACCCAATAATTTATTTGCCTGATTTACCTTCTCGCAATGGCCTGAGAACTTCAGCTCATTGTCAACACACACACACACACCTAGGTCCTTCTCACGTTGTCTCAAATAGTACAGTTTCTTCATCCCGTTGGTACACCCCAGGTGCATCCTCTTACACTTCGTGACATTTAATCTCAGCAGCTTGGTTCTCGATTTCTCGAAATAACATGGTGTTCTTACACGCCTTTCATACTTTTCGTTGGTACAATACCTCTAAATGTTGAAGGATGTATAAAACGACATTACATTCAATATAAGTACAAATTTAGTATAAAATCAACATTTTAAATATTAACAAAAAAGCTTTGATTGCCATTTACAAGTGTTGGAAGTCTATTCCTCATCCACACAGTGGACTACAAAATTAGTTTCAACAACAGTGTAGCAGCCATTCAGCTGCTGCCGCACTCAACACTCAAACTTAACACTAAATATTTACAAACCAAATAATGCATCAGACAATTACGAAATTCTACTTTGTTGCAATAATTTTAAAAGAACAAGTGTCCCCTAACAACCTTAAATAATGGTACAAACACTAAAATGAAAAGTGAAGTTTAATAAAACATTAAACCGTTATAAAAGACATTCAACTTTTTTTACATTATGCATTTGAGATCTTACGTAATTTATCTAGGCCTAAGATTAGTTACAAATCTAGGTTCATATTATCACCGGTTTGTACAATGAATATTCCTCGTAACGAAACATTTACAAGAGCATCTTACTGGTGACCAACTAATGTACAAAAATGAACATTAGGATTTTTAAGGTTCCTCGAAGGGGAATGGAGAGAAAAAGAGTTGGAAACTTGACTGCTAAAGGCAAACCGCATTTACGAGGAAAAGACATCTTATGAAACCCCCAAGAAACTGGATCCAAATTCGGTTTCCGGCAGTAACTAGGATACACATTCCACAGTAATTATTACCCGCAAATCAACAATCAGTGTAAGAACTTCAGCTAGTTTGATTGAACTTCAGTGGGGGCTTCACTTAATTAAGCAGACCAGTAATGGGAGGCTTCCGCTATGATACGTACAAGAGGAACTCCAGCTCTTCAACCAAATTAAACGAAGTACAGTATTAAGATAGTTATACTAAAGAATGCATCGATAATAACTTAATTCAGTAAGAACTAAAGTGACAAAATGCGTGATTAGATCAATCAACTAGACTGAGAAAAAACATTTAACATGAAATAGATCAATCCAACCAAATAACGTATCTTGAATCTTTTAGTTGCTAATCCCATGTCAAGTGAGCTCACGTGAACAAACTTAAGTATAACAAACGCGTTACAGATACTCCGATAAGAAGTAGATGGAACTACAGTATGAACAAGGCTGTGGAAAACCTCGCCTAGGTAAGTTAGATATAGACGTTCATGATTTAGATATGCTACAATTAAATATAAAATCGAGTTCAATAGAATATTATACATAAAAACGGAGATCAAGATAAAACTATTTGGAAACCTAAAAGAAATGAGAATAAAAATCACTGTACATGAAAGCAAAACACTAAAGCAGGAAGCGGTACTCTGTTTAAAGGAAGAAATTATATTTATATTCATTACATCCTTTTATAATTAGGGCTATTGTACGCTTCAGTACTTATAGAAAACGAGGAATATTCAGGGGAGGACTTCGGTGTTCGTTTTCTGGGAGAGCTGTACTCTGTATACAGCGCTCTCTTCGGAGACTCGTAATCTTCCATGCAGCTCTGTACCACCGTCCGGGTGGTGGTGCGACGTACGCAGTAAATACACCAACCCAGAATGGCCAGGTGGATTCCTGTGAGGAGGCAGATCAGGATGTAAAGTGTATGGTAAGATATGCAGTCCCCAATAAGGTCGTCGACTGCGTTCCCAGCTCCTAGAGACTGCACTCCTTGCTCGTTCTTGGACAATTTATCTGCAATAGATTATAACAAGTCCTTGTTAGAGTAAGGCCACTAATTTTTTTTACAAATCTACGCGTTTCAACCAAGATACAAGGAATACATCTGATGCTATTCTTGAGCTTCCAAAGCTCAACACAAAGCACAGGTTTTGCAGAGCTTTAACAACTTTTTCCATTCAATCACCATAGTGAAGAAAATAGCAGTAATAAAATGACTTACCATTTTTCTTGGTTAATTATCAGGTGTTCAATCATCACCTGCAAACTCTGATGACCCTCGGCCACCTATTCGCCTGCATCACCGTGCTCCCCTCTTTCCTCCTGCAGTATAGAATGTCTTCGAGCGCACCAACAACATATGTGAGGGGTGGAATAACTCATTCCTTACACTCATTGGTCACCACCACCCAAGCATCTGGACTGTGATCGAGGCCATGCGACAAGATGAGGCACTAGTTTCCAGTAATGCTCCAGGACCAGATTGAGGAACGACCCCGTAAACGATGCCACAGAGCACAGAAGACCCTCGAAGAGCGTCTTGTGAACCTGTGTTCTGACCGTCAGTCAGAATCTAAGCTAGCAACGAAGTCCAAGCTCTTCGGGATAAACTCGCCGAGTCGATGGCTACAGTAGATATCAGGGTTTAGGCACTTGGCCGAGGATCGCAAATAAGATCATCAATGATGTTGAATTCGAGGGCGAGATGCCCTCGATCGATGAATTCGTAGCGGAATTCCGACCGAGGTTTGCTGCTGAATCGCCACCGGATGATGAACATGTTGAGGTGCGCACGAATGACAGGATGCTAACAATTCTTGACCCCATAGCCGGTAAAGGGGTGGTGGGCACACTTCGTGGACCAGTGACCGCAGTAGGTCCGGAGAACCCAGAGCTCGACACCCGAGCGCTACGAAGGGTAGGGCCGAGGGTTCTCGGAATATTTAATGTATGGCTGTATTTGGCACGGGTTCCTCAATGGACGAAAGACAGCCGAACGTCCATGCTTTCCAAGAAATCATTGCTTGGGATCCCCTCTAATTGGCGTCCAATTACGATCGGGTCCCACATCCTTAGGGCGTACTGTAAAATCCTCGTATTCTGGGTGGTGGGGAGTGCTGACAAGTATAAGCCAGAAGGCCTTTAGGTCCGTCGACGGGTGCGGTGAGAACTTAACACTCGTGGAGGGACTGATAAAGCACGCCCGGAGAGAGAAGCGTAACATTATCACCTTTGTCGACGTAGCCAAAGCGTTTGACACTGTCGCACACCTCTCTCCACAGGGCACTTCGGCGCTTGGATACGCCTAACCACTTTCTGGATATCGTGAAGGATCTTTACAGTCATGTAGGGACAAGCATTTGCATTCCCGGCGGGGAGTCAGACCCCATCCCCAGAGGAGTGAAGCAGGGATGTCCATTGTCGCCCTTCCTCTTCTGTGCCGTGGTGGATGAGTACCTGGAGTCCCTGGGTCCTGCCGTTGGATACCGCCTCGACGACATAACGTCGGTGGCGGTGACAGGATTCGCGGATGACCTGGTAATAGAGTGCGAGTCCAAGCTCGGGATGCAGAGGAGCCTGGATCAGCTCGACCAGTTCCTTGGTGCGAGGGGACTGGCCGCGCAGCCCGCGAAGTGTGCCACACTAGGTCTTGAGCGGGCCGCAAGGGATAGGTATGGTGTGAAGCTCAGGGTCGTGACCGAGGAATGCTTCACAATGCTGAACTCGACCACGGGTCTGGCCGAATACCTGCCAAGAATTGAACCTGACGAGTACATGAGGTACTTAGGGCTCCATGTGGGGCCCTCAGGACTTGACCGGGGAGTAGGGTCGATGGTGAAAAACAAAAACTCCTTAACATCTTGGAGAAAATAGGAGGTTCTTCGCTGAAACCCTTGCAGAGGATCAAAATACTGAAATCTCATGTAATCCCGAGGCTTCAGTATAGGTACGCGAAGGGATCCTGCTCTATGAACCTTCTTAGGGCACTAGACAGGATCCTTCGCGACCAGACCAGGAATACCATCTTGCGAGACGATCTAAGCCCAGGCAGGAAAGCCATCGACTTATTGCGACTTGAGTCTCAGACGATCAATTGCCGAGTCTCTAGAGCCATTGGCCGGGTGCCTAATGAGGACTTGGGAAGACTGACTTGTCGCCAATGTGGGGAAGGGCAGGAGGATATACTACATCTCTTACAGAGGTGCCCTGCTGCCCAAAACCACAGGGTGACACGACCGCATCCTCAAGCTTAAACAGTGGCTACAGGGAGAAGGCTGCCACTTACTCTTAAGAGCCGCGGGTACAAAGTGGTCATACGTTCGTGAAGCCTGATCTGATCCTGCAGAAAAATGGCCAGTACTCGGTGCTCGACGTCTGTGTGCCCTTCGAGAGTGATGCAAACACTCTTCGATTGGCTGAGCAGCACAAGATCGATAAGCACCGTGCGCACGAGGTCGACATCAGGAGGTTCATCGATAACAGCAGCTCGCTGCCTCCGGTAGCAGCGATGAACTTCCTTGGTGTCGCCTTCAGCGCACGAGGTGGCATACGACCAGCCACTATAAAGCTGCTCAGCCGGTTGGGCATCGGACGCGCGGGCATCGAGATACTTGTTACAATGGCCATTGGAGGGATCTATAAACATCCTTAGATCCCTCAGACTGCAGGCGGACGGCTAGGATGACGCTCCCCGGCCACCAGCTCTTCCTGATGGAGTGTTTCCTCCACTACGCATTAGAAGGATTCCTCCCCTATTTCCACCACAGTTATGGAATGTCCATTAGGCAACCACTGACGGGGAGGATCGCACCAACAACCTATGAGAGTTTGAATTTTGCATGTATTGCCCTGGCTGTAGAACTAAAGTAAACTAAGCTATTGCAGCTCATAAGGGAAAGATATACCCAAAGACTAAAATAGATGCGATCCTTGTTGGTTGTCAAACTAGAGCAAGTTGGGAAAGAGATCCTCAACAAAACTGAAGTAGCCAGGGCCGGATTCAGGAGTGGGCAAAGTGGGCAGCTGCCCAGGGACCTCCACAATCTGGGGCCTCCACATGTGCGGTAGTAGCTATAACAGGGCAGGTCGACTTGAAACCACATGAATGACTCCAGTCATGTCTCACTTTTGAGTGTGTATTGGGAATTTGAACACTATCAATAAATATACAGTTAATTAAAAATTTCTCAATGTTCTAATTTCCTCAATATAACTGCATGTGGCTTCAAAATTCTCCAAAGAAGTTTTCAAATTTCAAAATTTTCCCGGGGGGCTTACAGCGCCCCCCGGAACTCCCTGATATTAAGGCTCGCTTCACTCGCCACCCCACCCTTTTGGGTAGTTATAACGAGGGGGGCCTCCACAAAGAGGCTGCCCATGGGCCTCCACAGGTCTAAATCCGGCACTGGAAGTAGCCGATAGGATAAAAGTAGTAGTTAAGAAGAGCTCTGTTCAGGTTGCAGCGGTCACAGAAGATGACACTTGTTAAAATCTGAACAGGTCTTGCAACAGCTAGGGGGACTGCAGAAGAGTTGAAAATATGACCACTGGTAGGCCTCCTGATATGGGAGAGAAGGGACACCGGGAATGACGAGCGAAGGAACAGTATAATCGTGTTTGGAGTCTGAGAAGAAGTCGGAGGCGGCTGAAAACTGGAAAACGCACTAGATGGAATTTTGGATGATTTGTGATGAGACTGAACCTGTCCGCTCCCCCCATGATGTGAGGAGCCCAGCCTACTCAGGATCACATTGGAGAATGAGGAATGAAATAGGAAGTTATTTGGCAGGCAAAAACCTTGGCATGGGACGAAGTATTTTAAGGCATATTAATAAACCTAGATCGCACGGTAATGCAGAGAGAACGGCAAAAAACTAAGTGCTTGAGGCAAAAGGAGGAACCTGAAAATAGGGATAGGTGTGGATGGGTTGTATGCAAGGGGAAAATAGTGGAGGCAAGTGCACCAGTACAGAAGCAAGGGACAGCGAATCACCCCCACCTCAGATGCCTCAAAACAAAAATGGCAGCGCAACCACCCACAAGCCAGGCAGAGGAATACCTCGCCGCCGCCGCCGCCGCCGCCGCCGCCGCCGCTCCCCCCCAAAAAATAAAAAAAATTATCGGATACATTACATAGGTAGTTTTATTTATCCGAATGACCAACAGCCACTTGATAAATGAACATTGTGTATACTGTAAATACATATGGTTTACTGTAATTAAATTTTATATTTTAAGGAAGGTTATCTATATATCGTTATGTAGGGTTTAAATTAAAGGGTAGTAAATACCGGGAACAATTGTGTTTAATTATGTGTTTTACACGTATTTTATTGGTAAATATTTTACCTACAAGGAATAGAACATCCTACCGGGAACCAAGAATGACTTGTGTCGTGAAAATTGGTTGGAAAGAGGATTAAGATTCTCCGCAGAATTAGACCACCTTTCAGCTCGGGTCTACTGTACATACTGTAGCCTCAAGCTTTATTTTTCATATCAGATTCAACCTTCAAAGCTTGTTGCCAAACACTACACAGAAGGTTGACGAACTACGTATCATGTGAACAACATCAAACAACACAAACACTGCTATCAGGTACCTACCTTCTGATGGAGTGGCCGAGAGCCCAGCTGCCTGGAAAGCCTTGCCGAGGCTGACCACCTGGGAAAACAGCGAGACTGTGGGCCTTTTGCTTTTGCCCAAGTTTATGTCAGATTGGACGCACGATGGCTGCTCCACACACTCTCCGCTGCACATCTATGAAGTACACACGACAGCAATATGAAAAAATATCAGTCCTACAGGGAAGAACAGGAATGAACCAAATGAACATCGGGAAGACTACTTATTTGGAGGTAGTCTAGTAACCATCCTGTCAGAACGACTCACTACAGTATAACTATGCCATTGATACAGCCAATTTAAAGGAATGAACTTTCCTGACCAATCTAAGTCTTGCAAAAGAATAAAAACAAGAATTAATAACCTTAGAAAACCTCTTTTACGACACTAAGTGACGGATAAATGCCGGGGGAGATTTTGGTCTATTCCATTTAGCATCAATAGCAGTCGGGAAATTATTTTGGATTCACTACAATGATGCAACAGTGATGAGCATATCTGGGTTCTTATTGTAATGGTACAATAATGATTGTCAATGAGTGGAGTGTTTGGTCTCGCCCATCTTTCTTACTGCAGAAAAAGGCTTCCAGGTTATACAGTACAGTACACCAGAACACTCCAGTCCTGCTTTCAAGACCAGACAATTGAGTAAGTGAAGTTCTTGTCTGATCATTAGTTTTTTAGGCGATCTAAATTGAGATGTGATAAACTATTTCTTTCATAAGATACAAGTACAATATCAGTGTAAGTCAGAGGGGGAGAAATGCTTAGATAAAAGTGTACGTCTCTTTAGATAGTTTTTACCAGTTTTTACCTTTATAGTACAGACTATGCTGATATTCTGCTGGGTGGTTCGGGTGTTGAAAGCATCTAACCTGGCGTACTGCGTCACTCTACGCACCGGCGTGGCACCAAAACTACTCTCGTGTACCACCCCCAGCACTTCACGGAATTCCCCCATCACTTGCGCCACACTGCATCCATCCTGCAACCCCACAAAAAAAGTCGTGAGCAGATCGTATATTGCTCTTAAACCGCAGACGAAAACCAGAATCATTACATTTTGGGAGTACAAATCTTTTCCCGTCAAGAACCATGGTAGCACATCCATTGTTATTTCACAGTGTGTAAGAGCTTAGTTTATATAGAGGCCACCCAACCCTGCACTACAGCTGGGAATTAAACCTAAGAAATTGCTCGAGACAAGTGCTCTATCACTGAACAGATTTTTGTGAACAGCAAAAGTAAATAATCTCAAGTGAAGTAAAAGGAAACTTATGACAAAAGGATAAAAAAAACAAGATTTGCACAGATTCTCAGACGTTTAGAGGACAACACAATATTAGCTTAATTACCTTGACAATTGCGATACTAATTCCATCCTCGCCCTTTGCCTGGCATTTTATCAAGTGGAGGTCAAGGGTCACATCCTTGCAGTATGCACTTACCACCAGTACCAGCTTGGTGCCTAGACCCACTTCTCCCGTCAGAGGAAGGCCGTTCATGTCCAAACCTTCATGAAAATAGTGTACACAGTATGAACTTTCTACTGAACAGTATATACAACTGGTTTTCTAATCATAAGTACCATGAACATTTTTCATGTTGGAACAAATGACCAAAGAACATTATAATCTGCATTAATTTGACTATTTTTATAAAACTCGACAACATTTACTACAGTTATAAAACTATTTGCATAAACAAGTTATGATTCCAAAGAAATTAAATTAGCCTAAAACCGCATGAACAGACTCGAGAAGCAAAACTGAAGTGACAAACGTCCGTTTTAATAAGACTGGCATGTAAAGTTTCTTCAAGGCTCCAATTTTACTTACCACGCAGGATGGAGATCGTGGTCTTGGCCGTGCTGGTGGGATCGTGGGGGGACACTGGGCCAGATGTGACGGAATTTGTAGGTATGGTGCCAAGACTCCCGTGTGCTCGCTCGGCCCCAGGCACACCCCAGGTAGGTATCTTGTTGGTCCCTCCCTTCTGTTGACAAAATACTTCCATCCCACACGTAGATTCGCCAACCTATAAAAGGATTATCATGCAACAATATATTTTTTTAAATAATAGACAAATGGCACCAACTACCATATAAGCTGCCCTTTTCGGCCCGTTCAATGTTCGCCTAATGTTACGTTATGTGCCGATAACACCATGCATCTGCAATAATCCATGGAAATTTACTATATTTTCGGATCACCTGGAGATTAGGCATCCCAGGTATATATCACCAGATTAAAACACCCTAAAGCTGCCTGAGGGTGGGGAGTTAGGTTGGGCGAGTTGAATCCTCCCGAAGCTGGGGCGCCTCTTCAGGTAATCCACATTTTCCTCTTGTTTTTCATGCACTGACAAGTCCGTCTTCCGAGTTACCAGTCTTCACAATTATACGCCTCAACTTGGCTCTCCTTCCATTGTCCCCGTTATACTTACCCTAACCATCTCGTCCACGACATAACCCACCAGTGACATACCCGTATCCTGGCGTTTAGATGCATTTTAAACGGTCCCAATCTTACCCTACGCCATCCCCATTACACGTTAAATACTCTCCACCAATAACCAACATACAAACACGCCACCTAGCACACGTTACCTTGAGCACGAGGCGGACACTGAGAACATCACAGATGATACAGTCCTTGTTGATGTCCTTCTTGAGAAGCTCTGGAACCAACCTCCATCGTGCGTCTGTGATCGTAGAGTGTGTGTCCAACACGGCATACAGCACCTGCAGAGATTAATTATGCAATGTTTGTCAAATCTAAACCATTTCCACTGCCCCCCAATAATCTTGTTCCCACTCGCCGTCTCCCCAACTCTTTCCTCGCCATCTCCCCCCACACTACCCCTCCTGTTCCTCACCGTCTCTTCCTTGCCCATTCTTGTTCCCACTTCCCACTTTTTTTTTAGTATTCCTAACCTTTCCTTTATTTCAACTCTTCCCTCTTCACACCGACTCCTTTTCTCCCCCCTTCACCACACCCTTTCTCACCCACTCGTCTATTGTGGTTATAAATATTGTAGACTAGGTCAGATAACAGCCGCGAGTGAGTATATTACTATACATGTTCAAGTTAACGTTAGTCAGTCCTTTATCCATAATATTTTACCTCCCATCCTCTACCTACGCCTAAAATTACCTATATAAAACACACACTTCATATATTACACGAAACCAAATACAAATAAGATTTATTCATTCGCTTACAGGTACAGATACATACAGACGATACACTATGTCCACATTTGAATTTAGACATTACTATTTCGTATATCTAAGCATAACAAGGAAATTCTTGGCAGGTCTCCCGTGCACCTAGAGAATACCCATGTTATCAAACCCGCGGAAAACTCCCTCGCCTCAACTTTGCAATGACACCATCGTCACCTCTCTTGATCAAAGGTGACCATTATAGTCGATTCTGGGAAAACGCTATTCACTGTAGTGGAGAGATGAGAAGAAATTAGTGAAAACGTGTCTACCTATCAAACCAGAATTAATTTTTTTCCCAAGTGACGACGACAAGGCAGTGTGCAATGTTACCTTTTATTTGAATTATTTACAGCACTTTACTAAATACATCCAGGTCAGGGTTTCATTTTCACATTTTATTTATTATGTATTTTTTCATAGACTTGGGTCAACAATATATACAATTTAGGAATGATTACTATCTTAAGCTCTGCAATATACAATTAATACTAAGTTTTATTTCTTCTCTGGTTCTCAGTTTAACATCCATCTGGAGACTCAAATACTATTAATTCCTTATTTCCACCGCAGTATTATTTACCGCCTGCTTTTTGTATGACCAAATTAGGATAATTGGTTTAAGAGGAGCCATGTTTATACACACAAGAGGATGAAGGACATTCACCCTATGCCCCACAAAAGGAACCACGACCATGTATGCCCCACAAGGAATCACGTCCATTTATGCACCCACAAGGAACCACAACCATGTATGCTCCACAGTGAACCCAACCAATTATGAACCACAACAATGTATGCCCCCACAAAGTGATGGCACACAACCATGTATGAACCGATCATTCTTAAGTACATCGGATGTACAGTACACGTCAAGTCTTTAAACGGAGTAATCTTTTATTCCATCCACGTGTCACCACTACGTTACGAGGCCACCTACTCCATGCATTACCATTTGACCATTTACAGGTACGAAAGCATCCGGGCCTGTAAAATAGTTCGGTAACGAGGGTCCTCTCCACCCACACACACACACACACACACACACTAACATTTAATCCTAAACAAATGTTGCAATTAAGGTCCCTGTGCAGTATAACAGGTACTCACCATGTAGGGTCCGTCCATAGCCACCTCTCCGTCACCCTCGGCCAGCGTCAACTGCCCCGTCACCGGCACCCGAGAGCTGACCGTTAATTCCATCACGTTGGCTGAACACCTCGACTGTAAAAACATTATTAGGCTTCATACACACAAAAATACTATATTATGATCCAACATCCATAGGAAAAGCCCCCTGGACCCCACCATCAGCCCCAAGGCAGACCTAGACCCGCACCATCAGCCAAGAGACAGGCCTCTGGACCCTATGTTTAAGAGGGTCACGCTGGGGCCTCAGCACCAGCTACATACACCATCAAAACATCGAACCCAGTAGTAATTTCTGCCTACGCGCCACATCACCACAGTATAGCTGTGGACATTCGGTAAAACACTAATAATGATCAGAGAAAGACCTGTACTAATTAATTTACAGTACTTTGGTTAGGTTGGTTTCATTTACATTGCGAAATAACTTCAGTACAGCCGCTTTTATTTTCTTGTGATATTTAGAAAAAAATAAAATTTCTTACACTACTTGAGCAAGTCAACCTTACCAACCTAATGAATACTGACGTACAAGTATTGAAATCGTGTTCAGACAGCAGATCCGGATAATATGGTTAACGTTTTATTCTACATAAAAACGGTACAAGATCCTTTGTTTTGCTTAAAAAAATGGTCAACTAACTCGGTTTTCAAATGGACAAGTTGACAAAATCAATTGTGCATTATAGAGCTTCATATCACTGCCCCACTCCACCTACAACCGCCACATCATAACATAACCCTGGCATAAAATACAGACAACCTGTATCACGAAGGAATTTCAGCTTAATTCTGATAAACTGACAAAACCAGCTTCCATCTTCCATTAACTGTCCACACAAGCACACGTGACTCACCTTCACGCTATAGTGCAAGAGGGAGCAGCCGGGAGCCAGAGCACTGCTGCCTTTCCCACTGTTGGCGAAGAGCAACACCAGCTCCTGCTTACTGGCTTGATCACCGGCTTGTTGCTGCTGATAAAGATAATCCCTCCCAGTCGCCACACGGAGCTGGGCGATATAATACGGAATTAATAGGAATACTGATCCTGGCTAAATCATCTGTTGTGTATATCTTCAGTTTTAAACAGTAACTACAGTACATTTATTTTATCAAACCACTGAACTTTCGTACAATATAATATACAGGACTACATCTTACCCGGTTGTTGGCGGTGTCGTCCTGGAAGTTGCCGTACGTCACCAGATATTCCCCAGAATCTCCTAACCTTTGGTTATGACTTGAAGACGACACCTGCAGGTCCCAAGATCGTGACCAAATCGGGTCACGTGCCAAAATGGCCGGAGTTATTGGAAACATGCAAGAAATATGGGCATTTTACTTTCGGACAACACGGGAATCTTAAGAATTTTATCTTTGTAATCATTAGTTCAGACAATTCTAAGACTTTTCTTCTATGACGTTGCTCTCACAAACGACATATATATGCCGGGTGGTCGGTGGGGAAGGGGGGGGGGGGATCCCCGTCAGTCGATTTGCGAAGGCAACGTCACAAGAAAAGTGTCCGAAAGTAAAAATTTACCGAAATGTGAAAAAAAGGAAGGCTAATGTAAGGAATATTTAAATATACAGTAATGTGAAAGCATCCAACAAGAAAAATAGACAGGTTTTATACCGTACACTACCAACTGAAATTCGGCAAGACTTTAAATCATCCAATAATGTTCTCCATTAGACAAGTCCAGCGTTAGCCATATAAGCACAATAAGAATGAGCGCTCCACCTTACCCGATTATCTGTGCTTTGAAAATCTCTGTCGTTCGAGCTACTCGTTGGCACACTTGGACCTCTAAATGCTGGGTTAAACACCAACCCTGATGAATCACTTGACTGATCTTTCTGATAGTTTCTCTTTGACAAAAAAATATTTTCATTTAATATACCTCCAGAATCTGCTTCGGGAACGAAGCCCGAGTCTTCATTTTCAACTTTGTTAATCTGATTGGTCAGTAGCTCCTGATATACTCCAAGAGGATTTTTATGAGTTTGTCCAGAGATGTCCTCAACGTCGACATAGGTCTGGATCTCTTCACCGTCTCTGTTGTCGGTGTCCGTGGGGAGATGGGCCGCTTGTACAGAAACCTGAGACAGGTGCAACACGACTTAAAACCCAAACATTTAAATTACTGCGTACATTACCTGTTAACACCACAATTTAAGTTGGACTTCATTTATTAATTCGGGTTAGGTTATGTCATCTGGGTTTGAATTGGGTTTGAACTTAGGGAAAACTGGTTCATTTGGAACTTTCTACAATCACTCCAAACTTCGGTATTATAGTTTCGGTCATCCAGCGAATCTTAGGTTAGGTTGAAATTATGATTTTTCCGATTTTTTTGTGTGGGTGTTCAGAAAGATTCTAACCTTCATTTACATCACTAATTACTACTATTTGTGATTTTCCCCCACCCAAAACTCCTGGTTCCCACTAGGGGTACCCCATTATAGTTGGATAAGGGGGAGCTCAAAAAATAGTGATTTGCGGTAGAAATGAAGGCCAGAACCGTTCAAAACGACATCATAAACCATCGGGAAAACAAATTTAACTTCCAAATACGTGGATGACCGAAACGATAACTTTACCCAAACTTCTAACTATCCCAAATTGAGCGGCTGTGTATTGTCAAGGGTTGTTGGGTCATGAGCCGTGTGTCGGTTAGTGACCAATGCAAAGTCTGGCCAAGACATGTTACTCGTCTCTACTGATAGGCTCTGGGGTTAGAACTACTAATAAAAAAATACCATTAATTCTTATGATAAGTAGGCCGTAACCTCCATGCTTTCGGCGTGCCAAATTAACTAAAATCACAAACATTTTAGCCAAAACAAACCACTGAGCACTACACAAGTCTTGTTTGTGCCTGGTTCGTTCCTCCTAAAATGATGCTGGTTTTGTTAACTTGTCAATGTCGAAGAGATAGAGGCCACGGCCTTGTTCTTATTTGTACCTTATAACCCAAGACCACCAATACTGCATTGTCATCGTCTTCATAACTTTAGGATTTTTTTTTTTTTTTTTTTTGCCTCAACCAAAACCTTATCCTAAGAGCTATTAACACAAAAGGTATGTGTAGTCTGTAAGAGTTTCCACCCACCGAATCGACTTTATCTATGCAATCAAAAGTATAGGCAATTCTACGACACTTATACGTTACCCTCGCAAATAACCTAAGTGACCTAACAGCCTCCTGGACCCCCGGCATATTTAAGTCATTTGCGAGGGACACGTCAAACGTGTCAGAATTGTCCGACTATTAATTGCAAAAATAATATTTTTGAGATGCAGTGGGAGGCAACATGTACCGTACCGAAAAATTATTTAACACCTTAATATATTGTAAGACCTACAAATGTAAGCCTTCCATATATTCACGTTTTAGTCAACTTTTTACTCCAATGGTTTTCTCCTATACACAATATTTATGAAATGGCAATTCATGTCTAGGTTTACAGCAATTCTACTACCTTGTTGCAGAAATACATCGATATCTAATCACTAATGCAATACGTGTACATGAATGCTTACGGTCATTCAAAATATTTGTAGTATTCGATAATTTTTTAGCACAAAACTGTGCGTGAAAGGATTTTCATTCCACCAGACCAAGAGATCGATGAATACCATATTTAATGACTACATAATAACTCACGAAAATCGAGTGGAAGACATTTTTTTTAAATTCCTGTTGCTTCACGTTTATAAACTAGGAGCTACAAGCACCCCAAAAATACAAAAATAAATTGGCGATCTTCCCCTACCCTTTACCTAATACAACGCGGCCATCCCTTGATCACGATTATCACAGTTTATACTACGAATCCAATACATTCCTTCAAGAAGAATTTTCACAATTATATAATAATTATAGTTCCATATGCCTACCAATAATGTAATGAAATATTGAACTTGGTATTAACTTACAAAATATATGCGAAGCCCCAGGCACAGCCAACCACACGTGAAGATCATGGTGTTTAGGAGGACTACCTGCCACTCGAGCCTCTCCTCACCGGAACACAAGATGGAACTTCTGTGCTTTCACTCCAGTGACTCTCGCCAGACTGACAACCGGTCGCTTCTCGCGTCCCTGAACTACCAAGAGAAACAACAGGAATGGGTAGTTCCAAAGACTAGAGTATCTTTGGGTAGTTTAAGATCTTCCTTGTTCGAGATATAGTGGCATCGATGACACAAATGATTTTTTTAGCAAGACAAGAAAGCTCTAAGTTCTGTCCGTATATCAATAATCACCAAATTGTTACTGTTGTACTGCTGAAGCCTAATCTTAACTTAACCTGTTCAGGCTAACTTATATAATATGTTATAATCTTATTGTCAATATACATATGAGATTTCAAAGTTTTCTTTTAGTCTTGGTGACAGAGTGAGGGTGAAATTTTCAGTTTAATAGTTATTCCAACAAAAGGTGATGTTGGTGTCGTTTATTTAGCATCATGACGGTTGATTTAAGGAAATATTGGAGATTGTGTGAAAATACCGCTACATTGAAGAACGTATGAAACTTTGCACTGTGCAAAGTTTTTTTACAGCCACACTGTGTGAGTTCATGGCATGATTCTTGGGCAAGTGGTAGAGTTGACCACACTTAGTGTATGTGCTGTCGTTGTTCTCCCAGTTTCAATCTGTAGGGTATAAGTAACACAGGGAGTAACACGAATGCCTCAACTATTATGTCCCGGGTTCAATCCCCGGTCCGGATCAGATGTAAGAAGAGTGTTATCCAGTGTGACCCTAAGAGGATAAAATAAAAAGAAAAGTAACAGAGACGTGACCGATCGCCCAAGCGGCTAACGCGCCGATCTGTGGTGAAGAGGATAAAAGTAAAAGTACTAAAAATCGCAGGATAACTCCGGTTATTCCAATGCTTTGGACCCTTTGGCGAACAACGAAGTTTTGCTGACTATTTACTTCATATGAGAATCTTTATTCTTGTTACAATTCGCTCTTAGAGACAGATGGTGCGTTTTACTCTTCTTTTGTTTATTGTCAGACTAACTTTTGTGCGAAATCCGTTCAGTCGTCTACTATAAATAACTATCGTCATTTGCATATTTTAAGACAAGTTATAATTTCTAAATGGGGCGCGCCTGAGTGCATGACGCCGTGGCCGTCAGCCTGGGTTGGTATAATTTGCCAAGATCTAGAATTAACTACATGACAATTACATTTATTTCCGCTAAAAATGAGTTGCATACTTAGAATCGGCATAAAAAACTGTACTAGTGACAAATTTTTCAACAAAATTTAACACAGTCCAAATTTTAAATAAGATCCATTTTCTTTACAATTATGGTAACACCTTTAAATTCATACAGTCATTTAAGTCCCTCTTAACTCAACCATACACTGTTTATTTACGTTCATTTTCTCTGTTGCGATGAAAGAAAATGAAACGTTCATAAGGATAGACTGATCCATCTGTTAGCCGTTTGGGAGGTCGATCACGTCTCTGTTTGGCACTTTTACTTTTACTTTTATCCTCTTCACCACTGATCAGCTCGTTAGCCGCTTGGGCGATCGGTCACGTCTCTGTTACTTTTCCTTTTGTTTTATCCTCTTCACCAAAAGATCGGCTCGCTAGCTACCCGGGCGATCGGTCACGTCTCTGTCACGCACTGTTGGCAAGTACTGGCCATGCACCGGCTCCTGAATGTACCTGAACCCGCTCCAGTATTGGTCAAGTCTTGTCTTGAAAGAGCTCACACTCGGTGCCGTCACAACACTTTCTGGTAGATTGTTCCAAGAGTTCACAACTGTCACTCCGAAAAAGTTTGCCCTCACAGTTTTCTGGACTTGCGGCTTCTTCAATCTTGAGCTGTGGCCACTTGTGGGGCGAGCGTCCGCCAGCTCCAAGTAAGGACACTCGACTGAGTAGTGCCCCTTGAGATGCTTATACACCTCAATTAGGTCACCCCTTGCCCGTTTGTAGTATAAGCTAGGCAAGTTCAGGCGCTCCAATCTTTCAGGGTAGCTGAGGTGCCGAAGTGCAGGCACCAGTCTGGTGGCCTTCCTTTGAATATTTTCAACCAACTGACAGTCCCTAGCATATCTCGGGTACCAGACGGGGTGACTGTACTCCAGATGGGGAAGCACTTCACTCCTGAAGATCGTTACGAGGGACGAACCGTCTAGATATCTGAACGACCTTCTTATAAGACCCAATAATTTATTTGCCTGATTTACCTTCTTCTCGCAATGGCCCGAGAACTTCAGCTCATTGTCAACATACACACCTAGGTCCTTCTCACATACAGTCTCAACTTGTGCAGCATCTTCATCCCGTTAGGACATAGGATACGCCTCCTTACCGTTGGTACGCCCCAGGTGCATCCTGGGGGAAATGTCCTAGCGTGGATAGAAGACATTCTTTTACTTTTATCCTCTTCGCCACTGATCGGCGTTAGCCGCTTGGGCGATCGGTCACGACTCTTTTCCTTTATATTCTTCACCAAAAGGTCGGCTCGCTAGCCGCCCGGGCGATCGGTCACGTCTCTGTCACGCACTGTTGGCAAATACTGGGCATGCACCGGCTCCTGAATGTACCTGAACCCGCTCCAGTGTTGGTCAAGTCTTCTCTTGAAAGAGCTCACACTCGGTGCCGTCACAACACTTTCTGGTAGATTGTTCCAAGAGTTTACAACCCTCACTCCGAAAAAGTTTGCCCTCACGGTTTTCCGGACTTGCGGCTTCTTCAATCTTGAGCTGTGACCCCTTGTGGGGCGAGCGTCCGCCAGCTCCAAGTAAGGACACTCAACTGAGTAGTGCCCCCTGAGATGCTTATAAACCTCAACTAGGTCCCCCCTTGCCCGTCTGTAGTATAAGCTAGGCAAGTTCAGGCGCTCCAATCTCGCAGGGTAGCTGAGATGCCGAAGTGCAGGCACCAGCTTTGGCCCTACATGACCGCAAGCAGTGTGTGGTGATTAATGGCACGAAATCGTCATCTGTACCTGTCACAAGTGGGGTACCACAGGGCAGTGTATTGGGCCCGCTGTTGTTTGTTTGTTTCATAAATGACATGCCTGACGTTGTACACTCCTCCATACAAATGTTTGCCGATGACGCCAAGTTATTTCTGGAAATTAAGAACCAAGCGGACTGTGAAGAGCTGCAGAAGGACCTCTGTGGGCTCCAGGAATGGTCGAAGGAATGGCTGCTGAGATTCAATGCCACGAAGTGTAAGAAGATGCACCTGGGGCGTACCAACGGTAAGGAGGCGTAGCATATGTCCCAAAGGGATGAAGAAACTGCACAAGTTGAGACTGAATGTGAGAAGGACCTAGGTGTGTATGTTGACAATGAGCTGAAGTTCTCGGGCCATTGCGAGAAGAAGGTAAATCAGGCAAATAAATTATTGGGTCTTATAAGAAGGTCGTTCAGATATCTAGACGGTTCGTCCCTCGTAACGATCTTCAGGAGTGAAGTGCTTCCCCATCTGGTCCCCGAGATATGCTAGGGACTGTCAGTTGGTTGAAAATGTTAAAAGGAGGGCCACCAAACTGGTGCCTACACTTCGGCACCTCAGCTACCCTGAGAGATTGGAGAGGCCTGAACTTGCCTAGCTTGTATTACAGACGGGCAAGGGGGTTCCTAGTTGAGGTGTATAAGCATCTCAGGGGGCACTACTCAGTTGAGTGTCCTTACTTGGAGCTGGCGGACGCTCGCCTCACAAGGGGTCACAGCTCAAGATTGAAGAAGCCGCCAATCCAGAAAATTGTGAGGGCAAACTTTTTCGGAGTGAGGGTTGTGAACTCTTGGAACAATCTACCAGAAAGTGTTGTGACGGCACCGGGTGTGAGCTCTTTCAAGACAAGACTTGACCAACACAGGAGCGGGTTCAGGTACATTCAGGAGCCGGTGCATGCCCAGTATTTGCCACCAGTGCGTGACAGAGACGTGACCGATCGCCCGGGCGGCGAGCGAGCCGATCAGTGGCGAAGAGGATAAAAGTAAAAGTAAAAAAGTAAAATGTATGTAACTGACAATAGTTAGACGTGTAAAACTGCAAATAACTGTACAGTGTATATTAATTTTTTTCTTAAATGTAGATCCAAAGCTTTGGCGCTCTCCACTATATTTACAATGATAAAAGTGGCCCAGAGGGCCAGAGCCTACAAACGGTTGGGGACCACTGTTCTACTGAGTGATTGTGTAAGCAACTCTTGGGAAGCTACTCACCAGTTTTAACTAAACACCACATTTTAATATACATACTGGGTGAATGCTACGAAATAACAATAATTTAAATTATAGAGGAAATTGGCAGTTATTTAAAACGAAAGTAATATTTATAAAAATAATAACAGGTACGGTACATGTAAATTTTATAGTGTGCTATTGCAGTGGATTTCTCCCCTGCAAACGCTGTTTGTCGCTGAGTAGCCGACCCCACGAATTCCCCAGTGTATGCCTCGTGGTCTAGGTCAACCAGCGCCGCCCACGGAGCTGGGGTCAACTACTAAGCCACGCCAACCCCCGCTACTTAAGACCTGACCTCGTGGTGATCGCTCTTTTTCTACCTACACCAACCAGCCAGCAACACCTCCTCCTCCTCCTCCTGCCTGACGGCCCTCGCTCCCGCCGGCGAGCATGGCGACCCACAAGCTGTCCTCCTCTGAGCACCCTCACCAACCAGCTCTCTCTACATCACGCTTGTAACCATGCTGCCTTCCCAGCACCAAGCTGCATTGTACATCTAATACAACATGTATGCATGAGAGCACATTGTGAGTTTCCTTTCTCCATCCCATCCTGAGTATGAACCAAACTTCCCCATACCCCACACTATAACTGACAATAAAATAATATCAACCACTAATAATTTTACTAATTAATCAAAGACTATTAGTCTTTGCTAATTAATAGAAGTTATTTGTTGAAGATTTTTGGTTTTCCCTACTGGATTATGTATCGCTTAATTCGAAGTTAATTAATATCTTTCTTATTTATCATTAATGATATTAATAAAAGTAGATTTAACCACAATAAACATTAAAAAAAATACAATCTAAATTTGTAATTTTAGATAT